GGAATAAAGGTTGCAGGCAACACATTGGAAGCAGAACACGGGTACGAATCTTAGGAACTCCTTCTTCTAGAGAAACAAGACTGTTTAGAAACGCTTTTTTCTTGAAGCGCTTTTTGCGAACGCTTTTTAGAAACGCTTTTTTTAGGAACACTTTTTGCGAACGCTTTTTGGAAACGCTTTTTTTTAGGAACGCTTTTTAGAAACGTTTTTTTTAGAAACGCTTTTTGCGAACGCTTTTTGGAAACGCCTTTTTTCAGGAACGCTTTTTGAGAACGCTTTTTTATGGAAAATAACGCTTTCCTGCATGTCTGGCATATGCCAGGGTCGGTTTTCACATATTTACGCTCGCAATTATATGTATAGATGTATACTTCATGTGTACGTATATTCCTCTTGCATCGGCTTAACATCACATTGTTTCGAACCATAACCCCTATACAAGCCCTCCAACTCCCTTCAACCCAACGTCGATGCCCTGATTTCCATACCCAAGACTCAAGTCCTGCAGAGAGGGTATGGCGGCGGCCTCTCCTACTCAGAATGAGGGTTTCCTTCTTCGGTATGTGAGCTCATTCTGGGGCAAGGGTGAGGAATCCAGCAGGCAAGGGAGGCTCAGACAGATAGCATGTATGGGCTGCAGCTTAATTAAAGTTCGGGGGCTTCCGGGTATGGTTTTGAGCAGCGTTGCGGGGGCTTTTGCCTGAAGGTTGATTGCGAATGTGCATCCCTACTATGGTAACTTGACCTTCGCTCCTTAACCAGAACCCAGTAGATGGACCCTCTTGAGGAGGGCTTGCCACATAACCAGCTTCTACCATAATATGGGTTGTGGCTTCAAACCGCTAAGATTGTTGGGGTTGTCATGTCGTGATTCGAATGTTGCTTCATGTTCTACAGGGCCATGCAGTATTGATTCAACCGAAAGGTAAAGCTATGCTGCTCCGGAAGAACGCGGACGAATATCTAACTCAAACCTCCGAGCCTTACACCTGCTGTTCGAGAAAAGGAGTGCTCAGGGTTTAAGGTTTGGGGCTTAAGGTTTAGGGTTTAGGGTACCTACTTGGCGCGACATGTCCTGGACAAACATCACTTGTCCTAAAGCTTGGACGCCGAACTACGTTTCAGGCGAGCTGCGTGGTGACGACCTGGTTGACAAGCTCAAGAGCCCTGCCTAGAAGTTCTATCATGATCGTGCCTCTTAGTCTCCACATTATTGTAATCATTGTTGCTGTTGTTATAGTGATCGATGTTACTATTATGGCAGGCCTGCAAGTGATGTAAATTGGCTGAGGTTCGCAGCTTTCGAACCCTCAAACCGTTGGGAGCTACAGACCCGGAAGACTTTCTGAGATGAACCCCAAACCCTAAACCCCAAATCACTAAATTAAGTACACAGACAGCTTAAACCCCAACATGCCCAACCCCACGCCCTCGGAGATCATCCGAAGAGTCGGATTGCCTGGTTGCAGAGAGAGTTTGGCAGTTTGTGCCATTGGGATCAACGGTTTCGGGCTTCTGATCAACACAGAGCCATTGACGATTCTTCCCAATAACGTAGGGGCCTAAATAATCACCAATACTATTTTGGGGGTTCCTTGTTGTAAGTATAGTATCATGGGCCCCCCAAACCCTATTCTAATTACTAAGGCCCCCATGTTATAAACTTGAGGCCGCAGTCACATAAGTTCTCGGTGCACCCCCCCACCACCCAACCCCATCCCACTGAGCTTGTCTTGGGCAGTACTGTGCCTGAGGCACGAAAATCCGTACGAGCCGGTTCCCCTGTGCTGTATTTAAGCATGCTAAACGGCTAAGGATATTTATATATATATATATAACATCCGTTTCATGCTGAGCAACAGCCTCATGGGACATAGTCCGGTAGTTACTTACATGACTACCAGAGTTGTTGTCTTATGATCGGCATTTTTTGACCGTGTGGGACACAGAAGCTCAAGGACCGGAGTCCTGAGAACGAAACCCGAGCACCCAAGTCTAGAAGAGCTCGAATCCTCGCATGTAAGAGGGGGATCGTAAACGACCATAGGAAAGCGCAAGGGAGACAGAGAGAGAGAGAGAGCGAAAGAGTGAGAAAGAGAGAGAGAGAGAGATAGAGATGAATAACACCCTAAACCCTAAACCCCTGACCCCCCCCATCCTAACCAAAAGCCATAACCCTAAACCGAGTTCCGGAGCGGAATAGAAAGGAACGACGAGGAGTTGATACTCACTGTGCTGCACTACTGAGCCGCACACAGCATGTCCTGAGGCATCGTCTTGCCACCTGGTTTTCAATTGCACCCTGACTCCCTGAAGCCTAGGCCTAGAAGCATCTGCAAAGCCCTAGAACTAGGAGACTACAAAAACCTGTGGAGTACCTGGAGATGATGCGCCAAAACCCTGAAGTCCCAAACGCTGAACCCTAAGCCTGTCTAAACCTCAAACCCTTAAAGGCAGCCTTAAAGGAAGCTTGTAAGAAACCCCGAAACCCTAAACCCTAAAACCCTAAACCCCGAAACCCTAAACCCGAAAGCCCTAAACCCTAAAGAAACCTGGAAGGGCTCGCTTTGAAAAGGAACCGACATTTGTCCGAGCATGTCCAGCGCCCAGGGCTTGTAGGGTTAGGGCTTAGGGTTTGGGGCTTAGGGTTTAGGGTTTAGGGATCAGGGTTTGGGGGTTTAGGGCTTAGGGATGAGGGTTTTTGGGTTCAGGGTTTAGGGTTGGGGATCAGGGTTTGTGGCTTTAGGGTTTAGGCTTAGGGATCTGGGTTTGTGGGTGTAGGGCTTAGGGATCAGGGTTTAGGGATCAGGGTGTGTGGGTTTAGGGTCTAGGGCTTTGGGATCGGTGTTTGTTGGTTTAGGGTTTATGGTCAGGGGTATCGGGTTTGGGGGTTTAGGGTTTAGGGTTAGGGATCAGGGTTTGGCGGTTTAGGGTTTAGGGCTGAGTGGATTTTCACTAGCCTAGCTCCATGATGCGCTCCCTGCAGCAGAGCCTGCCCTCATCCATCGTTTCTGACAATCCCCCATTTCTGCCACGAGAAGATTTATGATCTTTTCGACGGCCATTTCTTTCGTTAGGCCTGACGGCATTATGTTTCAACGTGTTTCACAGCAGGAGACCACGGAGCAGTTTCCTTGCAATGACAAGAGGAAACTGGATGCTTAGAACAAGCAAAAGCTCTCGGGTTGGTTGGTTTTCAGGAAGCTTCAGGTGGGGAGTTTAGGGTCTATAGGGCTTCTAAAAGGCTTCTATAAGGTATATAGACCTTCTATAAGGCTCCTATAACGGTAACTACCCACCTGAAAATGCCTTAGATTGGTGTTCTGATCTTGCGCTTTCCGGGCTATGGCGCTTTTGCTGTTGACTTGGGGGTCTTTTGCTTCACGTTTCTAGGGTCCATGTGTCGCTACGGAGTCCAGAAGGGCCATTCAGGGTCCGAGTCTTAGGCTTCAGGCTCTAGCATTCAAGCTTTAGTACCCTAAACCCTCAACCCTAATGCCAAAAGCCTAACCCCAAACCTTAAACCTTAACCGTTAATTTAGGGTTTAGGACTAGGATTTAGACTTCGGGTTTCAGTGTCCCATCCGATTGAGAAAGCCCCTCACATGGTGGCGGCAAAGGCTGGGGGTTCAAAGGGACTTCGATCATGCAAATGCCGTCATCAAGCTTCCTACGTCAAGCTTGCTATCCGATCTGAAGAGACCAACCCTAAACCCTAAACCCTGAAAGGACTCAGAGGCGTTTAGATGACCGGGTTACAGCAAGGGTTCCCTTCTTCGCACCCCACCTCTCCAAGCGTGAAGCCGTCGCGCTTTCATCCCGAGATCCTAAACCCTAAACCCTAAACCCTAAACCCTAAACCCTAAACCCTAAACCCAAACAAAGGTCAGTTACAGACTCTTCGGCAGTTTCTTGGAACTCGCAGGTGGGTTGGGCGGTTCATGGCGGTTTTATACATAGGTTGTTTGGAAGCTTATGAAGGCTTCCTTCAGCAGGATGGGTTCTGAAACGCGTTAGGGTTTTGGTGGCAGTCGGGCCTTCTTGGTTTTGGAAGTGTCGTTGGATTTCAGGACTTTGTAGGCTTGGGGGCTGTCGAGTTTGCGGTTTACGGATTTGAGGGCTCGGGCAAGGGTGTGCCGAGTCAGTTTGGATCGAAGGTGTTAGGATTTCTTCGAGTGTGATCTGGGTAGTGTTTACCATTCAAAGCATTTTGGACAGACCTCGCTGCGTATGCGGCTCTTGGAGTTGGCCATGTTGGTCGTCATCGTCGTAGTTGCTGTTGTAGCAGTAGCAGTAGCAGAAGTCGTGGCGGTGGTCGTGGTGGTTGTGGTGGTGGTGGTGGTGGTGGTGGCGGCCCTAAAGCCTAAACTTAAACCCTCGACCGGGCCGGGTGGTGGTGTTCTATGCTTCGTCGCTTCGTCTTTACAGACCGAAGGCTGGGCCGGGTGATGTGCGATGAGCAGTGAAACTCGAAAACTTGCACAGAACATTTAGGGTTTAGGGTTTAGGGGGTCTGCTGAGTTTAGCACGTGTTTTGGTACTGAGTACCGGCATCAGGAGCACGTGGAGTTGCTGGGGTGGTATGTTGAGGATCTCTGGTGGTAGCAGAGACTGAGACGGAGACCTGCCTGCTGAACTGCCGGATCCTCCAAGCAGCTTTGGTTTAGGGTTTGGGGTCAGGGTTTAGGGAATAGGGTTTACGCATTGCTCATGAGGTTTAGAGTTCAGCTTGGTGCTTTGTTGTTTCATTTCGGCTCCTCACCGTCCCCGAAGATGCTAAAACCTAAAATCAGAAGCCGCAAACCTGAAGCCACCAGCTTTGTCGGCGGAACCACAAAGGATTTGAAAGCCCGACTCCAAGTAAGTCCTCTCAAACCCGGAGGCTGTCGACGACGATGCACGACGGCGTGAGAAGAAAGAGCGCAGCCAGCTCAGCCCTAGGTTGGCAAGTTTGTTTTGAGAGCGGAAGTATGCCAATTCCAGAGTAGAACCAAAGACGCATGGCGATTTTCACTTACCCATATGCCCCATAGCAGTTCCTTTTTGTGGCTTATATTTAGGATCCTATTAAGTAATCCGCAAAAGGAACGACGTACTATGGGGCCTACAGTGTGGTGCGCATTATGGGTTTGAACGTTTAGGGCGAAGACAAGTTAGTCATTGTCCGCGCCCGTCTGGAGCTTCGCCAGGACCCTGCCCCACTTGCATAATGTAGGGACTTCAATAATTACCTATACTATTTAGGGGTTCCTTATTATAGTTGTAGTATAATGGGCCCCAAAACCCTATTCTAATTATAAGGCCCCTACATTTGTTTGTGCTCATGTCTTGTTATGTACACAGGCTCTGTTGCGCCCGGTGGCAACGTTAGATGGCCCAACTCCAGCCATTACATGGAGGAGAATGCTCGTGGACTTGCTTCACACCTGTACATCCGGGGAAGCGTGTAGGTGACGTGCCTGAATTCCGCCCCGTACATGGCATGAAGCATTTAGACACCACCGTGATTCCTGGTGGTCGGTGGTGCCAGGGATAGATGTGTGCTTCTCGAATCAGAAGACTCGAAAAAAGACCCAAGTACAGGAGTCTGACTATAAGGATTTTAAGCTCCCCCCAATACTGCGAGCCCCCAGCGGAGCGGACCTCATGAGCCCAGGCAAGTCGAAGAAGCATCGTCACTACCCGGCAGAGCACGAGGCCTGCCAACAAGGTTTCTTCGTATAAAGCTAAGACCTTACGGTATTTGTTTCATTGTTCACTTATTATTCTTTGATGCACTGATATACATGACCGTCTCGTACGCTAGCACTTGAACCTGTAAATCTTTTGGGTTTCACATAAGCCCACGATCATATTGCCTAGCCCTTCAGCCTCTTTTTGGTGTGTATATATATATATATATATGTACGTATATATATATATATATATACATACACATATCCCACCGTCATGCCACAAAATTTCTAGCAGCGTAAGACTTATATGTACTCCTTCTAAGATTGCAATACGATTTTGTCCACGGGGAACGCAACAACTAGCCGAAACCCTAAACCCTAAACCCTAAACGGTGGTTCAGGAGACTTGATGCTCTGCGGATCTGTGCTTCCAGGTATGGTTCTGGTTTGGGTTTCTTGAACAGGGTTTAGGGTTTAGGGTTTAGGGTTTAGGGCAGAATAGAATAGAATGAAGTTAATTACCATATGTCACGTTTAGGGTTTGGGTGGAATGTAGCCGGGCGCTGAGCCCTTTGGGGTTGCAGGGTGATGTCGGTTTGTGTTTTAGCGTCCGTTGGGTTTAGGCTTCGGGTTTAGGGGTTTTGGGTTAGGCTTCACGTACCAGGACACATCCTTTTCTCTGGTTCGGGCCCTTACTCAATCTTTAATATAAGCCTTGTCTCGGGATGCTTGCTGTTTGTGGAGCCCAGGGCAACCAAGCATCTTCCCTTGCCTAACAGATTTGCTGCCCCTGGCTTCCATTCTGCACATCAGTTATTCCTAGTAGCAGGGGGTTGTTGAGGATTTGGGGCATCGGGTAGACTCAAGACTTGGCTCAATTTCAGCGGTTGGCTTCAAGAGCCAAGTCGGGCTCTTAACCAAAAATCAGCACCCTGAACCCTAAACTTACCCCCGAAGCCTGGTCATACTATACCCGAAGAATCCCCTCACAAAGCCTCATAGAGTCCTTATGACCCTATGCAGAAGTCGTATTACAGACCCCATTATCCGCCTGTCATCATGGACCTAAGAGCCTGCCGTGCCCAGCTAGAGGTGCGTGATGTTCGGCATGGTAAAAAGGATGTCGCTGGCTCAATTGGGGCTTCAAGGGTTTATGGGGTTTAGGAGTTGAAGGGTTTTCAGGGTTTACATCAACTCAGAGAGAGAGAGAGAGAGAGAGCGACATAGAAAGTGGATTTAGGGTTCGTCGGGTCAAGCTGAGCACTTTAGAGCCCAGATGGCATTTAACCTAGACCCGGGACTTCAGTGCCTTCTGTTGAATACCCTGTTGTCACATATCAAGCCTAAGCCCGGAGTCCAAAACCCTAAACCCCCGAACCCTCATCCCCTAACCCTGAGCCTTCTTCATGAATTCTGTACTTCTTTCTTCGCTTTAGGACAGAGCCTTCTGACCCGCAAACCCCACGCACTTCGGTCACTGAGCCCCAGAGTGCGGAAACCTAAACCAAACCCATCAGCCCTGTTTTGGGTAAGCCTACACCCATGAACCCTATATTCGGGGTGCACCGCTCAAGTTTGTTTGTTTATTTTGAATGGCCAGTGCGGCTCTCCTGGTGCGGCGAGATGCTGCGGATTAACTTGGGAAGACTCCAGGCCTTTCCCTAAACTGTTAAAACCCACCTTAAACCCTAAATCCTAAGCCTTAAACCCTAAATCCTAAGCCTGAAAAACCATAAATCCTCAAGCATAAACCTTATAAACCCTATTGCACTCTGGAGTGGCTAATGTGCTATTCTAGTTGTGAGTGCTGAAACCGTAGACGCCATGAGTTTAGGGTTTAGGGAGCCCTGCAACTCCTAGCACTCTCCTAGCAATTTGAGGCTCAAGGCGTGCATGGGCGTAGGGTCTAGAGCTCAACTGCTTAGGCTGTGGTGGTCCATAGATAATTGGTTGCTTTTCGGGCACAGGGTTGACACGGTCAACTAGGGTTTATAGCTGTTTAGGGGTTTAGGGTTTAGGGGTGGGTGGCCGGCACCTCAGTCCGTGCTGAAAAAGGGTTTAGGGTTTAGGGGTTTAGGGTATAGGGTTCAGGGATTTCAATGGGGTTCAGGGTTTAGGAGTTTAGGGTTCTACAGGGGACATTGGCCGGGCGAGCTCCAATCAAGCCTGTGTAAAAAAGGGGTTTAGGGTTCAGGGGTCTAGGGTTTAGGGGCTTAGGGTTCAGGATGCAGGGTGAACTGTACCTATACTCTCCATTGTAGTTCCTTTTTCGGTTTAACCATATCTCTATATATATATATATATATTAATGATTTTATAAGGTATCCCCAAAAAGGAAGGACAATGGAGACTATAAGTAGTGACAACTTCAAGGCCCCCAGGCCCGAACCTCGAAGCTCCGAACGTCCAGCCCAGCGAGGATGGAGCTCTGGCCAAGCCGTTCAATTGGGCCGATGAGGCAGGTTCAGGGGTGGGTGGCGGTATGTTTTGCTTATTTGTTTTTGTTTTTCAGTTTTTGTCCTTATTTTTGTTTCCCGGCCGCTTGCGTCCTGCAAGCAAGCAAGCAAGCAGGCAGGCAGTCAGGCACGTGCTCTAGCTTCAGATCCCGAATGCCCAAGCGCAAGTGTCTTATTGCGGGCATCATTCCTCAAGCTGAGCCCGGCTGCTTCTATTGGCTGAGATGGGCCGTGCTAAAGGGGGGAAGCTAGGAGGTCCCCAGACAAGAACCGGAAAAAAAAATAAGAAACAAAAGCGGACAAAGAAAAACATAAGGAAGGAAAACAGCCCAGGGGGATGTGGGGTCAATGTAGGGGGCTTGAATTACAAATATTATTTTGCGGGTTCCTTAGTAATTTAGGCCCTTGCATTGACCGGCTTACCTGTGATCATGGTTTGCTGGACGACAACAGTTAAACAATGACCGTTTGACTTTATTTGCTACCGGAAGCGACCCAAGTGCTTGTTCAATCGCACATGACGAAAGGGTTCTCTTGCCGATCCGACTTGCAAGCCTTCTTTGGATGGTTATGTGCGGCAACATCGAGCCGCAGCTCAGAGCGATCTCAATGCAAATGTCGCCAGAATCTGACACCCTGCTCTTGGCACGCGCATACACGCACACATACAGTTGACGGTTGTGCCAACAGCTCCAGATGGTTGCCGGTCGCCCGCGTGAGAGAAACTATATTGGCTATGTCTCAGTTTGCTTTGCGCGAAGGGTCCGCTTGCAGGCTGGTGGCATTTCAGGCGACATGGCAGTGTCATAACAAGTCGGTCTCATTTCAACCATGTTGCTCTTGCATGCGAGAGCTTGTGCGTGCTGAAGTGCTCACAATGAACGATTATTGATTTCGTCTGATCTGAGCTTCGGTCACGATGAAAACAAGCAACATTTGTGCCCATATCGGGGCACTGTGCACATGCCAGATGACTCATTCCGCTGCGTTCCATCCAGGCACATGGGCTGTCCAAAACCTTGCCAAAAACCCTGTGGCAAGAGTTTAAAGTGCTGGGTAGCTTCTCTGATACAGGGGACTTTTGACCGCGTCAGTTTGCAGTGTTTACACAAATCCTCAACAGGATCTGTTTTGCAGCCGTGCTGTTTTCTGTTTGTTGCACTTCGGAGGCTCAAGTAGGCCTGGCCTTCCTAGGCCCAGGCGCTGGATTGCGGCATTCCGGCTCCCGAATTCTGAAGTCCCGACAGCCCCTTCTACGAGCCTGAGAGAATCTGCGATTGAAGTTCCAACCTGAGGTGCAGCCAAACCCTGAAACTCCAAAGCAAGCAGCTTTAATTATAGGCCTCTTAACGCACCCTTTAGAATCCTTCGAAGAGCCCTTTACAAAAGCCTCATCCCCCGGCATTTGTGTGGGGTAGACACCCTTACAGAACCCTGAAGGTCTAGGGTTTCGGGTTTGTGATTTAATGTAGGCGCTGTTTCTGTCACTCCTCCGGTTGCGTTAAACGAGGAGGCCCTGCTGTTGAGGTGTGTTCGCTGGCACACAATCCAAGCCCATGCTGAAAAATGTAGGCGCCCAAATAATCACCTATACTATCTTGGGGGGCTCCTTATTACAACTATAGTATAATATACCCCAAACCCTATTCTAGTTATTGAGGCCCCTAAACCCTAAACCCTAACCCTTACATGGGAACCCCTCACACTTTCGAAGAGCTCCCTTAAAGAGGTCGTCAAGGCTTCCATGGACCCGCAGAATCAGTGGGACTTTCCGAGCAACAAGGGTGGTGGCGGTGGTGGCTATGCCTTGGCCCTGGGTGTTCGGGGCTCTCCTTTAAGGTTTTGGGTAGGGTTTTGGGGTTTAGGGTTTACGGTTTAGGGTTTAGGGTTTTGGGTTTTGGGTTTACGGTTTTGGATTTAGGGGTGGGGTCGGAATGATTCCTAAGAATATCGCTTTATCATAGTCCCTTTAATTACAGGTTAGAACGTTCATAAGCGTATCACTTTATTATAGCGCCATTATAGTGATGATAGTTGTAGGTTAATATAACCCCAAAACCTTTTCTAAGTATTGTATGAAGTCCCCTAGATTACGATTTCCGATGCTGGTGTTTCGGTGTTTGGGTGATGTCAGGGGCTAGAAGAGAAACCCGGAGGTAACGTTTTTTGTTTAGGGTCTGAGGGCCCTGAAAAAAGGGTACAGGCTGTGGGGTGTAGTGCATAGGGAGAGAAAAGCCCCGAACCTTTTGAGTTGCACTGCGCATCCATCAGTATTACCTACACCCTAAACCCCGAAACCCTTGGCCCCAGCCCTGGCTTCATGCAAATGGTTGTTCCTTCTTCAGGGTGTCTTAAGGGCCAACCTAGTACTGTAGCAGCCCAGAAAGGTATCATGAGAATCCTGCAACTCTAAACCGCTCTCTCCAAAAAACCATCCAAGACAATACCAACGAAAATGAAACAAGACACAAAGAACCGCAAGTAAAAACAAATAGCAGAACAGGCACCCATACTTGTATGCATATATAGGTGACAAGTAGGTAGGTAGGTAGATAGATAGATAGATAGATAGAGATAGATAGTTAAATGTATAGAGAAAGAGACATTCATATCCAGGTTTATCTATACTGTGTTTCATGAAAACACACATATGTTTATATACGCTTGTACATATACAAAATACATATACAGATATACATGTGTAAATATAGTGTAAACACACACACACATATATATATATATATGTGTGTGTGTGTATATATATGTATATACGGACACACACACATATGTAATGTATGTATGTATGTATGTATGTATGTATGTATGTATGTATGTATGTATGTATGTATACACAGATATAGGTATTATATAGGTATGTACACACAACAGACACAACACTCGCCGACACACACACACACACACGCACACGCAGACACACCCACACCCATACGCACACACACACACACACACAAACACACACCCCACATACACACACACACACACATACACACACAGAGACCATAGACGCAGTGTGCGTGTGTGCGAGCTCTGCTAGGTGTGTTTGTGTGTAATTGTTGCGATGATCTCCCGATGAGGCCGAGGCTCCCCAGCGAGCCGCCTGGGAGCAGCCCGGGCCCAAACGAAGGTTGAAGGGCAGTTTAGGGTTTGGGCTGTAGGGAGTCTTTGGCTTTTTCAATTTAGGGTTTCGGGTGTCGGGAGGTTTGGTGTTTAGAATTTAGGGTTGAGGGTTTAGGGATTTACGAAAACGGGGTTTATTGAGCGTTTAAGGTCAGAGTCGGGTTTCATAGCGTTGACGACCTTCAGGAGGCAGGGGTTTTCGGAGTTTTGATTCTGTTCAGTTTTTTGGTGTTCTTCAGGATGTCTTAGGGCTTGGACTTGTGGTGTAGGGCTTGGGATTGCCGGCAGTTTTGAGACTGCGGAGAAACCCTAAGTATCGGGATGCTAGGCGTACAAGGAGTCCTCGAATCACTGATCTGGGGTCTAAGGTGTAGAGCATCTGCATCAGATTCAAGAACCGGGATTTAACCACATTTCGCGGTGTAGAGTACCGGGTGTCCATGACACCACAAGCAAGCTGGAACTGTCAGTAGCAGCATGTAGTGGCAAGAGCGGAAATGCTTACTAGTGACGTTCATACCCAAGCATGATCGCCAACGGGCGACATCAACATGGCAGCAACTACGTAGTAGACAACAGCACTGATTGTTCATGGCCCTTATCGAAATAAAGACCGTGTAAACACAACATATCACAACCCAGTGTCAAGGCTTTTCTTCTTCGTCGACTTGCCGTTCACTACTACCACCACAATCACACCAGCAGCGTCACGACCAGCACCACGATCACCATCATTGCCGACATAATTAAAGCAACATGTACAACATGTTGTTCATTCCATCATCAAGTGCAGCAACTTGCGTCTTAATCGCAGGTCTTAATCCCAGTCTGGCTTGCTAGATGCAACTTAACAAGAGTGAAATCTGTTGCGAAGCAAAACAATGGTTAAAAACATGCCAGAGCCGTCCCGTGG